AAATATATACCTGAGCAAGTTAACTCGAGCAATATATTCATTTTTCCAACTATCTTTAGTTAATCTCCTATATAACAAAATCAAGTAAATAAATAAAAGGTTGTTTAGTCAATTAGTCGCAATAATAATGACGAAAAGATAAATATATTACCTAAATGGAGCACATCCAAAAAATCGTAAAAATGCATTTCTCCAGCAATTATCATCGCTTATCACGAGTCTCCAGTGTTTACAAACTCGAGAAGCTTTGCTCTTTTTGTTTTTGTTTTTGTTTTTATAAAATGATGATTAATATGGAGAGGTATATATTTATTAAATATTAAAAAAAAATTCGATTCCCGATACTTACCAAAATTATCGGATCGAGATTTGAAAAAATGTATGAAAGAATTTCCACTGCTATTTCATTTATGAAACATCTCCCACTATTGACAAATTAATTATTATTATGAGTAAATTACTACTAATCGTTTGAAATTTCAAGAGATGTAAATAATAAATACTTTTTGGGTAGAATATTAACTTTTTTTCCTTTATTCTTGAATTTGGAATAATTTAGTTCCATGATTATTTTTAAAAAATAAATAAAAACATTTGATTTACTGAGTCATAATTGATAAACAACCTTGGTGTAACCAATTACTATTACAAATAAGTTGATCGATCGCCAGTGCTAGGATGGTGGACATTTAGCAATTTTATCGATATCTAATGACACTTACAAAATTAGATTCGAAAGGTTATTCGCCAAGAACTATAATAATTGATAATTATGACTCTTATACCTTTAATTTATTACAACTTTTGAACAATACTGAAAATGTTATCGTTATTAGAAATGATCAATTTTCTTGGTAATGTTTGATGATTTTCAAAAATTTTTTTTTTAAAGGAATAATCATGTTAATTTTTTTTTTGCTTAATAAAGGACTGAATTTGAACAAAACATTCTACCACATTTTGATAATATTATAATATCTCCAGGACCAGGAAGTCCCGAAAATTCATCGGTAATATATTATTTGATATTTATGTGTTGGAAATAAATATAAATTTTCCAATCAATATATTAATTAAAAAAAAATTAGGATTTTGGTATTTGTTCAAAAATTCTTAAATTAAATAACATCCCAATACTTGGTGTATGTTTAGGACATCAAGGAATCGGTTATGCATTTGGTGGAAAGGTAAAACTTTGCTTAATAATATATATCATCTAAAATAATTTTATTAAACAAAAATTTATATTTTTGAATTAGATTAAAAATGCTGAAAAGATTATGCACGGAAGATCAAGCCTTATATATCACGATGGTGGAGATGGCGACATTTCCTTATTTTCTGGAATACCGAATCCATTTTGGGCAGTTAGATATCATAGTTTAGTCGTTGATAATGAAAGTAAATATCATGACTATTAATTATTTTATTATTTAACACTGTTTAATATTGAACTGGTATAATTTATTTGATTTGTTTAGATTTACCTTCAGAATTAATTGTATCAGCTTGGTGTTTTGATGAAAATAATTTACAAAAAGATCATTCGTTTAATCAATATTCACCACCACCATCACCATCATCTAGTCATTCTTTAGAAAAATCTAGTAAAATCATGGGATTAAAACATATAAAAGAACCGATTTATGGTGTACAATTTCATCCAGAGGCATGGTTTGTCAAGATTGAATTATTTAATTATTTAATTATTTTGTCATTTTGTAAGAATAAATTTCAATTAATCTTTTAATTTCTATATTAAATATACATATGTATAGTCTATTTGCACAGAATATGGTTATAAAATAATAAAGAATTTTAACGAAATAACAAAAAAGTATCATGGAAAAAAGGTTACAGTGAATTTCAATTCCAACTAAAAGCATAATGTTAATAAATAATATTAACACTTTTAATAATTATCAGCAAGGATTAACATTTTCAAGACCAAAGCTTCCATATAATATTTCAGCACTTTCAGTAATTCCTTCCAATTTTTTTATTTTCAATCCAATAACAAGGATTAATAATAATAAACCAAAATATTATCTTGTAATGAAACAATTTCACGAGAATAAATGGTTAGATCCATACCTGGTGTTTAAAGAAATTGTCAGTAAGCACAATTCATTTGTAGGAAAATGGTGGTTAGATAATTCCATGGTATGTGTATATATATATATATACATATATACACACTTATATTATTAATAATTTCTTTCTTAACATTTTTAATTCAAAAAATTTTTTTTTGATTCAATAGCAACAAGATTCACAAAATGGATTTTCATTTATGGGTTCAACACCAAATTTTTCAAATACGTTTTCAGTGTCATATTCCACTTTAGAAAAAGATTTGAAAATACATTGCACAAATGGAAAAATTATTTCAAAAAAATTAGAAGAAAATCAAACATTTTGGGATTGGATGTCAAATGCAACAAGACTAATTAATCAAAATATTGGCATCACAAAAATATTAAAAAATAATGGATTACTTTATGATATCTTAAAATTAAAAAAAAAAGAGCATCTAATAATACCATTTGATTTCCGCTTAGGAATGGTTGGTTATTTTGGCTATGAAATGAAATGTGAATCTATGCCTGGTTATGTAAAGGTTGTTCCTAATGGTGTTGGCCCAAACAATAAATGTCCTGATTCAGCATTTATATTTTCAACATATGCAATAGTATTTGATCACTTAAAAAAAAGATTATGGTCAATTGGATTAATTAAAAATGATGATGGCAATTCATTGATAGATTATAATGAGTTGGAAGAAGAGTTGGGAATTTTCCCAGGACTTTCTCTTACTGACTTCTTATCATTGACAAAATCAATTGAAGAAAATTTAAATAATATAATTGCTCTAAAAAAACACCAAGAAGAAATACCAATTAATAAGAACCACTGCTGCCATCATAACAACAATAATAGTATTGATAATTGTTGTTATAATAATGTTTTTAATAATCATAAAGACAATAAAGATAACGTTTCTATTGATTTTACAAATTTCATTCCTGATATGAACTCAGATCAATATTTAAATACTATTGAAAAAGCAAAATCATTGATTTACGAAGGTCAAAGTTATGAATTATGCCTTACAACACAATTTCATACCAAGTTGCCAAATAAACTAAAAAATATTGATGATATTCTAGAGTTGTATTACTACATTAGATCAAATAATCCTGCTCCTTATTCAGCTTTTATTTATTTCAATAACTTAAGTTTATCAATATTAAGTTCGTCACCTGAAAAGTTCTTAGAAATAGATGATAAGGGAGTTATAGAGATGAAGCCAATAAAAGGTACAGTTGCAAAAGCAAATAAATGCTTTTGTGAAAAGAAGAAGACTAATGAAACAAAGGATCAATATTATGATAACAAATGTGATAACGAAGAGTGTTGTAAAATTAAAAGAAAGGAGGAGGATTTAAGAAGAATTTATATGCTAAAAAGAAATGTTAAAGAAAGAGCTGAAAATTTGATGGTTAGTTAATCGTGAAAGTAATTACATACATAAACTATATAGTAAATAATAATGATAAGCCATTTTTGATTTTTAGATTGTGGATTTAATACGTAATGACCTTTCACAAATATGTATTCCTAATACAGTCAAAGTACCATATTTGATGAAGGTAGAATCATATAAAAGTGTTCACCAACTTGTGACAACTGTTAAAGGAAATTTAAATAGAAATATAGATTATGTTAATGTCATCAAAAATTGCTTTCCTCCTGGTAAGATAACTTCTTTTTTTTTCTTCTTCCACTCTGGATTATTATTAACAATTTTTTATAATGTTTGTAGGATCAATGACTGGTGCTCCTAAATTACGTAGTGTACAATTACTTGAAAAATTAGAAAATTATACCCCAAGGGGTGTTTATTCTGGTTGTTTAGGTTATATTTCATTAAATGAGCCAAATAATCCTAATAACTGTGGAGGTGGTGCTCATTTTAGTGTTGTCATTAGAACAGTTATTATTTATGATGAAAAAGGTGTGTTAAAAAACTTTTTTCCAAATGTATTTTTTATATAATATAATAATAAATAATATGTAATATGTGCATGTATTTTTTTAGATATATCAGTTGGTGCTGGTGGTGCCATCATAGATCTTTCAAACCCAGAAACGGAGTGGCAAGAAGTTTTATTAAAATCACAATCCGTTATCCCAAGGTAAATAACAAAGTTTGTTTTCTGAATAAAAAAAAATTTCAATTATTTTTTTACTAATAATAATAATAATAATAATAATAATAATAATAACTGTTATTATTATTTTAATTAGTGTCACATCTTTTATAAACCAAAAATACCATTAAATAATCTAATAATAGATACTTTAAATTTTCTTTTACAATTTAAATAATATTTTAATTTCAATATGCATGTTTAATTAATTGATAATACCTTATTTATATTAATTCCACAGCATAAATATATTTAATCATAGAATAAAATTCACATTAGATATTATAATAAATAAAATTTGTCATAAAGCCTTTTGTGATTTTACAAATGGAACTATTCTTACAATGAAAGATTAATTAGATGAGGTATATTTAATTTTTTTTTAAAATTATTACTTCATCCTCTTCCACATTTAGATAATAATAATAAAAATCCTATATATAATATTTTTACTTCTCAATGTAATGACAACAGCTAATAAGTAATATATGTTAATATCTATATATTGTCAATAATTAATATCGAATCACTTTGAAATTAAGAATTAATTTGTTTAACATTTCATGGTTTTTGTTTTTTACTACTACTATTATTATTATTATTATTATTATGGAATTTGATGATGACGATGATGATGGCGGTGATGATGATGATGATGACATGTTGGTAGTTGTTGTTGGCAGTAATGATGTTGGTTTTATTGCAGGAATATCCCATTTACTTGCATGTTTTTTACCTTTTGTAATTAAGTATTATTATTAAATTAATTAATTAGGATTTTTACCAATGATTTACTTTTACCTATATATTACTTTTGCTGCTTTCAATGATAATGATAATGATGCTGAAGTTACAGATGCAGTTGATGTTAATGTATATCCATAAGATTTTGAAGACTTTTCTGCTCTAGCTACTAAACTTTACATCACATGTTGAGCTTTTGATATACTTTGTTGCTGTTGATGTTGAGATTGATGTTGACAATGATGATGATGATGATGTATAGTTGTCAATTAGCGAAGACACAATGAATGAATTCAAATTGAAAAATCAATTATCATTAGATAAATTATTGGAAATTGGAATTAAAGATATTCATCTTTCACAAAAGGTTTTCGAAAGTTTCTTAAAAGAACTTTCAAATAATGAGAGGTATTTTAATTGATTGACATTAATTTATGTGAAGAAATTAATTCTAAAAAATATTAGTCATAATTAATATTATTAACAATAAATCATATCTGTAGATTTTCAGTTTTACTGGCGGTCGATGTAGTAAACGCTTTCTATACCAATTCCGAATACACAGATAACAATGATAAAAAATTAGAATCTAATAAATTATCATTACCTCGTTCAATGTTGGAATATATTTCAGGAATTAAAATTTTTGTAATTATCTTATAATATACTAAAATATTCTAAATACTCTAAATATTGAAAGAATTATTAAATTTAATTTTTAAAAAAAAAAAAGAAAAAAGGTGCAATCATTGGAGCCTTGTCACAATCATATATGCCATATATCAGTAAACCATTAGAAGAGGCACTTAACATTAGTGAGTCATCAGTGTGGAATCCTCGTTCACCCACAATATTACAATATACAAAAGATTTACAACGATTTGATGTCAAAATGTATACTCAGAAGGAGGCGAAGGGCATTTTAGATTATTATTATAATACTATGATCAAATCAGGTGATTTTATTTGAACAGTCAATACTTATATTAATTGATTTATAATACTATTAATATGCTCTTTTATTTAAAATTGAATTTAGATCCAAAAGATTCATACTTTCTTAAACAATATTTTCTTACGAATGGTAATCCAAAAGAGTTTTATTTAAATTGTTGGAAAGGATTCACTAATTGAATTGAATATTATATTAACTATTATAAAAATTAAAAATATTGTTAAAGTTATTGAGATGTTTTTCTTTAATGTTTGCTGTAAGCACCCTCTGGCTAATAAACTCATTCAATTAATATAATTGACAGATAGATACTCGTTACAAGTGATCAGTGATTCTCAAGACAAGTTATTTTTGAAGCTATTATATTTATTAAAATTGATTGAACAAATTGGGTCCTTATTGATGATCAAATGAAAATTCAAGGTTTCTTCTCTAATGTACCTGTTCTAATGTAAAATTATACCAGAAATAGAACGTTGTCGCATGATACAACATAAAAAATTTTTCAAAAAAGATGGGTTGTGACATTACCTTGACGACTGCAAATGCAGAATGCGAATGAAAGTCCGCCTCATACACATCCTCTAAACAACAGAAACACTTTATCTCGATTTCCTAGTTGTTGTCACTCTTAGCGAAAGGTCATGACTGGCTAGACAGATTGCCATGTTTATGAGAATTGCAGTTTTACCAAATCTTAAAAGCATTGCACATGATTAGAAGGAAAACGACAAAGTAAAACTTTGTTTACGAGAAAAAGCCTTAGATGGCATTGATGCTTTTGTCCTCTGATCAACAACAACAATGAGTTCTATTATTATCTTGGATTCAATAATAGCAGTAAATTTAGATATATCGTTTCATTTAAACAACAACAACAGTAGTACACAGTAAGTCTCGGTATAGCGGACCTCGGTATAGCGGATGTCTAATAAACTCTCGGTTTAACGGATCAAAGCTCAGAACCGTCTATAAGTAAATTCTCTCGGTTTAACGGATTTACTAATTAAATCTTGAATTAATCTCGGTATAACGGATTTTTGAAATTTTTGTTCTAATTGCCCAAATTATCCGCTATACCGAGACTCACTGTGTATATGTTAAGTTAGGTAATAAATTATCCCTTCCGATTTTATTTTCTTTCTAGATTCTTCATGGTTTTGTGTCAATGCCCTTTTATTAGTTATGATTTTCTTTCCTCTTGGTTAATCCTTTCTTTCTTTAGATAAGCTTCAAGCACCTGAGTCTTATTTATTTTTGAAAATATAGGGTACAGTTTTCTCACCTTGTTTTTGTATTATAAATTTTGGATCCATAGTAGATGTGATGTAAATGTGTTTTATTTTATAGGAGTAGTTCTATATATCATTTAAAGAAGGAGATTATAAAATTGTTAAATCATAATAATAATCACAGTACTAAATTTTGATCCCTTCTTTGTGGTAGAAATGTTCACTTTGTTGCAGCATGCCCATATAAGGAATATTGTTGACAATATATTTTCCCACAGATGCTAAATATTTATCATTATCAATACTATTAGCTTCATGCTCCAATAAATTGAGGAATTCAATTCTTCAAAAAGTGATTTTTTAATTATAGAGGATTTTGCCTAACTTCCATATTTTAATTTAGACCTTGATGGTTTTTCTATAGAAGCAGGTTTTAATGTGGAACCTTATCACCAATGTTATTTTCAAATTTTTAAAGACATTAAGTTACACAAATCAGAATAAATGTTTAGTGAATTATTTTGTTTTGGACAGAAATAAATATTTCTTGTTAATAAAATAATTGTATCCAATTATTTCTATATACAGTGAACCCTTGTTTCAACGAAGTAGAATTAAATTTTTGATACAACGAATTTTTTGAGCATTGAGAGCATGAAAATTATATAGATGGGTTGACGAGACTATTAAGAATAAATACAAAACGTCGGGAACCTTTCAATTAGGTTGTTTGCAAATAAACGTTGAATGGGTTAAAATTAGATGCCATAATAGCTCTACTTAGGGATGAATTGATCAGAAAATAAGATGTCCAGAATTTTCAATCCCAAAAAATTTCCTAAAAAGAATAACAACCAGTGTAGCAAAAATCACGGTTTGATATCAGGTCTGACCACATTTATAGCTCAACGAGGAGAATCAACAACAATTGCTGTATTCATATTATAAATTAGATTCATAGATTAAAATTGCATCAATTAAAAGTTTCATGAGTCAAGCAAGATATCTATACATTTTAGAAAATATAATTTGACATTACAACATTGCCTTTTTAAAAGGAAAATTGCTATAGATTTACATTCAAAAAGTTTCTGTTAGATTAATGACTTATCCACGTTCAAAAAATTTCTATATTGTATTTATTTAAATTTCATCAGAAAACTGTTCCACTATATATCTACTATTATTTCTTATACATCAGTAAGCTAGATAATGTGTTAGAATTTGATGTTTGAAAGATTTATACATTGAAGCTGATATTATATGAGTTCCAAAATTGCATCAAAATGCGGTTTCCAAATATGTTCATAATAATTGGGAAACATTAAGTTATGACATGTGGTGCATTGATTTAATTGAAGAAATAATGTCTGCTATTTATTTTGAAAATATTCACTATAGCTAGTATTTGGAAAAGTGATGATTATTAATATTTAAGATTTTTAGGAAATTTATTATTTCTAAGGCTCTGGATGAGCCAAGTTCGAGTTGAGCTCGAGCCAATTCGAAATTTAATATTATAAAAACGCAATTTGTCAACCCTACCGAAAATAACCGAATAATTATAAAATATTAATGAAAATATCTTTACTATAATAAATTGTACTAGATTTCTGAATAGAGGTTGGAATCGTCCAAAAAATCCTTAGTCGACTACTAGTTGGTCAAAATTTCTTTTAGTCGACTAATTAGTCGGCGATTATTAGTATTCGATTATTTTAGTCAACTATTTAGTATTAGTCGATTATTTTTAGTCGACTATTTAGTCGACTATATTTTTTTAATACTAGCGTGTAACCATTTGCTTCGCAAAATGGTCACACACTAGTCACGGGAATAACATCCTATTTAATTAGAATATTCATTCTGTTTCATAATTATTAACTTTTTTTTTAATTTGCAGATTACAAATTCATCTCCATTTGAATCTTTAATTTTCTCGAAATACTTCCATACGAAGCTATATGTTATAATTCGTTTTTTTAAAGGTCTGGAACCACTGCTTGAGCTCAAAGCCAACGAATTGTTGGAATTATTTGACCTTGTATCAATGTTTATTATTTCGCATGGATAATTATCGCCAACACCAGCATCAACACCACCATTATCATCTTCTTCATAATATTGATACTCCGCATATTTATTTTTATTATTTTCCATTAAATTTTTTTGTACCACAAAAAACGTTTTCATTTATAATTGGCCAGACAATAATTATAATTAGTATTAGTCGACTATTTTAGTCGATTCCAACCTCTATATCTGAATTTTAGAACATTTAAATCCTCATCAATAACTATTATGTTGCTTGTAGAAAGTACTTATTTAATAGCTCACATTGCATTCTCAATTTTGAACTTTCTTAATGATCATCGCCGTATCTGTCATAATTAGTCTTCCATTTAATAGTTGCATATCAGTAAGTATATAGTTATTTTATATTCATTTGTATAAATAATACTTAGTTTAGTTTTAACAATAGACAATATATTAATCCTAATGAAATTATTGTGTATGACACATACACAATAATTTTCAATTACCCAAATTAAACATCATTGTTAAAATAGCACTTCTTATACCTTTTTCTAATGCACGTGTAGAAAGAATATTTTCGGAAATGAAGTTGATTAAAAAACAAATTGAGAAACAAAAACACATGTAAATATGCTAAATAATCATTTAGTGATTTAAATGGACTAGATTTTGATTTTGAAAAGCATATGAACGAACATTGGGCAAATAAAAAAGGAAGAAGATATTGTTGTTAATTTTAAATTGTATTTTATTCTTTTTTATTTTAAAAAATCATATAAATTTTTACCAACCAACAAAATGCATACTGAGAATATTCGGTTGTTAGGTTGCGTAAAGTACACTTCGTGCAGTGAGTATAGTACAAACCATTTTTTTTAGTAATGATAATTGTACCTGCATGCCTTTTTGTGTTGGGTGGGTGTGTAGGACCCATAATTGTACTTGCTGTACTTAATCTAATTATACTTATGTTTGTACTATACTCACTGCACAAAGTGTGCTGTACTCAACTTGCTTATACCTGTGAATATGTGCAATTCTGCTACAAAATCTTTTATTTAAAAAAAAAGAAAAAAAAAACAATTAATTAAAAACAGTTAATAAAAAAAATTAATTTAAATAAATCGTCAAATTTACCCCCGAAGGAAAATAACAAATTTTTAAGTTTTAACTGTTTTTATGTCTACAAAAAAATTGATACTTAAAAACAATGTACACGAATTCTCTAAGTATACTTGAAACATACTTGAGGAAAAATCAAGTAACCTTTTAAGTATATTTCAAGTACGTTTCAAGTATGTTTTAAGTGTGAACTCTATTTATTTACTTTAAACAATTGATTGAAAGGACCGACTTTACGTGCGACAAAAGAAAATGGATATTATATTGTTAAGGAAGCTGTGTAAGTATGGTTTCATATATTCATATTCACCTGAAAGATTCTTTATTTATTTTTTTCGCCAACATGTTTTCAAATGTGTTTCAGGTACATTTTAAGTATATGAGTATGTTTTGAGTACATTTTAAGTATCTAGAGCCATTACACAGGTAAACTCGACAGGTCAGACATTTGTTTATATTATCAAGTACTTTAAATAATTGATTGGGAGGACTGACTTATCGAGTTTGCCTTACACTCTCATATTTGATTGGCTAATTTCAACTTCTAATATACTGTGAGATCGCAACAATAATAATTTATTTAATAATACAATAATACAATTATACTGACATTTTATGCAATTTAATGTGCTAATGATTTATGCACGAAACATTGCTTTAATTTCAAACTATCTTTCACTGATCACGTTCTTGGCGAGTGCCCTCATTACTTATCAAGTCAGGTATGTATAACTTTCCTACCCTGATCGTATTTCTTTGAGGGTGCCCTCTTAGTTGTTACTCGCTTA